TGACCAGTTTGATCACCTTGCAGTCCAAGGGGCTCACAGGAGTCTTCTCCAGCACCATAGTTCAAAGGCCTCAATTCTTTAGACTGTAGACTACCTTCCCATAATTTAAGATTATTACTAAATGTTCTGCTCTCTAGAATGATAGAAACTATGTCTTGCCTCTCTGTGGGACATCCTTTTAAATACTTTTAATGTTCTATCAAGCCCAACCCGATCTCCTCAGTTTCCCCTTGTATTCCATCCCCAATCATCTTTGTTGCTCCCCTTTATATTAACTTCATTCATCATTTCCTTTTTCTCAAAATGAGGTGCTTGGAAACGAGCATCACTTCAGATGGTTGCACAATTTTGGGTGCCGGAGTACTACACTGCTTAGATCACTGTTCCTCAACCTGGCCAAGTTAAGGTGTGTGGACTTCAATTCCCAGAATTCTTTGGGTGGTGCTGGCAGGGGAATTCTAAGAGTTGAGGTCCACACATTTCAAATGGCCAATGTTAAGAAATACTGTTCAAACCAGTTGTAGTTCCCCAGCACCCAAAATACTGCAACCAATTTTGATAATATTATGGAGTATTTTTCAGGGTTTGGATTAAGTTTAGAGAATAGAAATAAGAGAATGACACCGCCATGATACTGGAACAGCTCCTGAGAGTGGGCTGTGTTTTTTGAAAATATGCTCCTATTATTAAAACAGAACAAAAGCAGGCCGAATAATACCTGCCTTTAAGAAGAGCAAGAGGGAACTGTAAGATCCTGAAAAATATTTGTTTCTAGAAAGAGACTCTCAGGTTAATCTATATCAGCAAAAATAAATGAGAGTACTGTGCTACCTTAAGGACTAAACAATTAACTTGTCTCCAAGTTGCCTGTGTTATTACCAATTACTTTTTTTTAATGAATGACCATAGGTAATACTGTAATGATCATTATATTTCCCAATATTTTATTTCACACTGATTTCTATCCACCTGCTCATCAGTGTATACATCTATAACTCTGGGTAATTCTACGCAATTCTAATATCCAGCAGACATTAGTCTGTGAAATGTTATGGATTAATGAACATGCTAATTTCCAGTGTGCCATAAAACTTTCTGTGGTGCCATCTAGCCTGACGCCGGACACTAATCCTCATTAATGCAAGCCCACCTAGAAGATTAGCAATATAGCAACAAAGACGACTATGCTATGATGTATTTATGTAATAATGGTAGAAGAAACAGCCACAGCTGAAAGCCGGTTCCCAATTTGTACCAGGTATAGGATTGTGGCTTTCATCTTTAAACATTTTTTCAAGATGAAATGAGCACCAATCCACCCCGCCCCCCAGGAAAGATCTTCCCCTCCCCTCCATTGTGTGATTATCTTGTAGCCTTGCAGGGGTGTGTGTGTCCTGGGTGCTCTCTGAGCTTGGTTGTTTTCTTGCCTTGCAGTGCACTGATGATGTTACCTAGTTTGGGTAACAAAATATTTCCAAGAAAACAACCAAGTTCAGAGAGCACCAAGGATCCCTCGTTTCAACTCTGAGCTACAAATATTCTCCTTTATTGATACCTTGTAGCCTTGAATGTCTCCGTTCTGTGTCTCAGGAGGCGGTGGCTCCCAAGTAATGTCGAGTTGGGTAGCGGTGATGGTTTGGATGACTACATTCTGGGGTGCAGCTGTAGGGACTGAAGAAAAATAAAAGTCAGGAATGCACTAGGC